CCTGAGTTTGCCTGCCAGCACCTATTTTGGGCAGTTCACATCTCATCCCTCTGGCCTCCACAGGCACCTGCACACATGCAAACACACGGGTGCACGCATGCACACATAGTTAAAAATCATCCATCTGTAAAAAGGCAGTCTAGTGCAGGCCTTAAGCCACTGGGGCTGTATTGTTGAAGGGGATAGTGAGACCCCAGACTTTCCTCCTCGTTCTCTTTTCTGCTTCCTAGTCATGAGGGTTAACTTCACTGTGCACTCTCCCATCATGACATACTATCTTCTACAAGCAACAGAGCCAGCTAGGTCCTGGATTAAAACTTCCGAAAGTGTGGGCCACAACAAATATTTTTTTCATTATAAGTCAAGGAGCTCCTTGTATTAGTTATAGGAATATCTATTAATTACAACACGCACAGTACAGGTAATAGATTCCACAAGATCCCATTTATTGAGCTGGTGAACACCTACAGAGGTAAACAAAAAGACCCTTGGGGGCCTCTGATGGAGGAAGGCTATGGGGTATTATTTTCTAGGCCAACAGGCAAGCTCTGTGTATTTCCTCTGCCTCTGTGACAACCTAATGAGTTAATAAGATGTAAAGTGTCTGGTTTAGTACGATCCCTAGGACACTCAGGCGTATACTCACTCACTGTCGCTCCCTCACAATGAGCGCTCTCATGGAAAGATTGCATTTTCCTGAAACGTATCTCTCTTCATTTTATGATCACAAAAAAAAAATCGGAGATATGAATGGCAATTTGAATAAAATGATCACTACAGGCAATCCACTAACGAAGAACAGAAATATAATAGAAGCAGAGCAAACCAACTCCCTCCCCCAGCTCTAGGAGGGAGGTCCTCAGAAGCGCTCTGCAGCACAGTTAATGCCCATCAGGCCCAGCTGAGAATTAATTTTAGTTCATCAACAGATACTTCACAAGGAAATACAACTAATAACTAAAAATATAAGCATTCTACCTTATTAACTGAAAAAAATAAAAATGTAAAATACAAGAACTGCTCTCAATTATTAAGCAGGAAAGGGGAGCTTATTTTAAAGATATTACTCAATGCTGCCAAGACTAGAATAAGCCCCAGACTTACTTCACTCCCGGCCAGTGAAAGCAAACTGGAGCAGACTTTTAGCAAAACAGATGGGCAGTCTGTGGGCAGAGGCAGGAAAAGCTCCCGCCCTTCAGCATATTTCATTTCTGAGAATCCAGCTCAAGGAAATGGGGACAAGGCCATCCCCACCGCCATGCCCGCAATGCTGAAGACTCTTCAGCAGTGGGAAGCTGAACAAGAATAACACAGAGGGCTGAAGGTGAAACTCATAACAGACTTGCTTGGCATATGTGAAGCCCTGGGTTCAAACCCAAGCAGTACCAAAAACAAGATAAGACATAATAGCATATCAGTAACATGAGACCAAATTAGTGGGTTATTACCTAGACATTAAACTAATAGAGTAAAAAGAAAACCAGGAAGATGACAGCATGATACAATGTTACATGAAAACAATTAGAAATGAAAGCTAGAACCTCCACAGTGAATACAAGAAGGGCAAGGCTATGTGAAAGTCTCCAAGCTGCTGACTGCATGTAACAGAGACAGGCTCTGATGCAATTCTTTTGTCTTCTCCTTCCCCCTAAATTTTTACAATATGTGATTTTTTTTTCACCTTGATGGTAGAATTTCTTATTTTCCAATATGTCTTTCCTCTACGGTATATATGAAAGAGCTGGTCACAAGACCACGTCCCACCACGAGACACTTCTGCAGTCTCCTCCATGTCCTTTAAAAAGGGGCAGAGATTCTCAAGCTCTTTTCTAACACATTATCTTCTCACTGCCAAGGCGGCACGGACCTCTTGCCACCATGACCTCTCAGGAATTACAGTGGCCACCTCACCTTCCCTGAGGCAAAGGGCTGTTTCAAAGAAACTTCTTTCCATGAAGGTGGCACAGGTTCTCCACTTGCTGCTCCCAGAGAGAGTGAAGTGTTCACTTCAGCGCTCAGCCCTGTGCCACTGGCTCAGGCTGAACCCACCATGGATTTCTGCTACCTACATAGGAAGTTTCTTAAATGATTCTAAACACAGTGATGAGCTAAAAGCCAAAAGGCAGAATAGGGTGGGAAAGATAGCTCAGTGGCTAAGGGTACTTGCTGATCTTTCAGAGGATTGAGTTTAGCTCCCAGCATCCATGTCAGATGGCTCACAAGCATCTACCTCCAGTACCAGGATAGGTGATGCCTTCTTACAACCTCTATATCCATATGCAAACATACATCTACACTAAATTAAAAATAAATTTTAGAAAGACATGCAAATAGAGCATGGCTAAGTTAAGGTGCATATACCTTCACAAAACAATTATTATAAATACATAGAAATACAGATCATGTCAAATAGAAAAAGCAAGGCATGGGTTGGGGAGACACCTCCATTGTTAAAGCTCTTGCCATGCAGACATGAGGACTGGAGTTCAGATCTCCACCTGTAACTCCAGCTTTGGAAGGCAGAGAGAAGAATAGCTCAGAGCAAGCTAGCTAGCCAGCAAAAATAGCCTTGGATTTAACTAAGACAGCCTGTCCCAATGAAGAGGAAAGAGCAATGGAGGATGATTCCAACATCCACCTCAGGCCTCCACATGTACATGTACATACATACCACACATACACACAATCACACCCTTGTGACAACTATGTAACACAGTTTGTGCAGACCACCCAGTAATTGTGCGTACACTCATGGCACATAGGCAGCATGCTGGTACTTTCAGCACACACACCAAGACATCACCAGGATGCTCACACACTCCAAGACATCACCAGGGTGCTCACACACATCAGAAGCCTTCCTGCTCCCACTGGGAGAGGGCAAAACTGGAGTCTTATCAGGGTAAAGTAAAGAACATTCTTTAATCCCACCAGTAGATTCTACATTAGAACATTCTGGAAACATGTCTAAGATCACATAGTCCCCTAAGGATGCAGAAGAGGACCATGTTGGAGTCTAGATGATCTGCCTCTAAATCCCATACTCAGCTCCTAGACTGGAGAAGATTATGAAAGAAAGTTAAAGTTTGATTTCTCTTAGAAAAGGGACTTTCCCCTTCCCTTTATTGTCTAAGCTTTCAAGAGTTGTTTTCTCAATTTAAAGCAAAAGGTAGGTCGGCAACATGTTTGTAGATATAGTAAAAAAAATTTAATTACGTCTGGATCAAAAGACTAAGCAATGCCTGTTGGGCCTCTAACACACTTGGGGAGAAGAGTAGACTGGAGGATAGCCAGGCATTTGCTCCAAACCAAACCAAACAGCTCCAAGTAGCTGCTGGCACAGCCCCCTTTTTTAAAACATTCTCTTTCCACTGCCTCTTCCCATTTCTTCATGAATTCTAATATACTAGCTGCACCCATGAAGGCAGAGACTTCCAGAGAAGTCAGTAATGTCACTGCTGCTACTGACTGAGGTGGGGCTGGACCAGCTTAATCCTGCACTCCTTTACACACCAGTGGGCTGAATATTGCCAGCTAGCTAATGACAGTCTATATCTACTGCTGTTAATTCAGAAGCACACCGTGCCCTGAACATGGCAACTCTATACTCTTATAGACTGTTTAATGCTCCTTAAAGCTCGGTCGAAGAAAAGGCTCATACATTCTATCACACTTGAAACTCGATTTAAAAAACTTAGATTTCTAGACGTTTTAAAGTTATGCTAGAAGCAAGAAAACAATGAAAGAGACCTAATACTTCTCAAAAAAAAACAGTTTAGGAAAAAAGGAAAAGAAGAAGAATGTATTAGGCCTAGCAATTTAATGAGATAAATCACACCTAACAAGATTTAATACAGCCTCCAAGTCTCCCCAGTTTTCATCTCCCCAAGCCCCTGAAGAGCAGAAGCAGGCATGGAGGATACTGTACCCCACACCAGGTGAGAGGCCAGCTTCAGAGCGGGCAGCATGTCTGCATTAGCACACCATTAGCAAGGGAGTATCTGGCTCCTGTGGTGGCTCTAAACTCTGAGCTCCTTCCTATGTATCAACAGACAGAAGCTCATACAGAAACTCTGCTAAACGTTCAAGTTCCTATCCTCCCAGTGCCTTGTCCTCAGCTGGCTCCCAGAGCCACAACAGAGCCAGAACAGAGTCTTCCTGACACAAGCGTCACGGTGGCCTGGCTCCCAAAGTCTATGAAAGAGCAGAGACGTATGGCTCCATGGCAGTTGCCCATCAGATGAGCCAGAGCCACACCTCCTGATGCTGCCTATCTGCCAGGATGCCAGGAGGATGACCTAGAGCCAAGCTCACTGTGCTGAGACCAACTCAGGGAACAAAGAAAGACTCTTCGGAGCAGGGAGGATGGTCACTGGACAGCCCAACCCCGGCACTGTCCGTGCTGCCTCCTTTCCTGGGGATCATCCTCAACTCGGACCTTATTCAGGTTTCGAGAGCACAAAATGGGCAAGAGACTAAAGAAGGAGGTGGGGCGGGGAGGAGCACAGAGACCATACCACACTGGTATTCTTCAAAAGGGGGAAGGGCCAGTGAAGGCCCGGGCCATGACCATCTACAGAGAAAAGGAGGTAAGGACGCGTAGTTACATGAGCTGAGAATCTACTCAGTACAGGATGCTGACATAATATTGGTCCACAAAGAATCACTGAGAGAATTCTACCACACATTCAGATAGTCTCCAGTCCTGGACCAAGGCAGCCAGATATAGTCCTTTTGACTGAGAGGCACCGCAGAGCATAATGCCTGGTTCTGAAGGTGAGGGTAGCGTCCAGGGAAAGGGGTCTCCTCTGCTCACCCAAGCAAGGGTTCTCCTACCATATTACACTTCTGCACAGACCACACTGCTGGAAGGCAGAGGGAAAGTTGGCCCACCAGCTCATGGCAAACAGGGCGCAAGATCCAAGCCTACTGGATCCCCTGCTCTTGGCCTAGAACTCCGCCCTTCTCCACCCCGCCCATAACCACAGGCAGCCACTCACGGCATTCCTTCTCGTCACTCTTGTCGAAGCAGTCAGGCAGCCCATCACACTGCCAGGCACCCGGAATGCACCGCCCGTTGCTGCACATGAAGTTACCTGGGATGTTGCACTCGTTGGTGAAGTTGTTCCCAGGGAGCAGCTGGCTCTCTGTAAGGAGAGAACAGATGGTCAGAGGCACAGTGACCACAGCCAAGGGCCTGAGCCATGGCCTAGTTGGAGAAACTGATGCTCAGCCCAGATGAGACTTCTACTGGGTATCTTTGCTTCTCTGGCTTTGTCCCACATCAATGAGATGTACTTCCACCTTGGACCACCTCAGGACAAAGATGTGAAGACCTAGCTGAAGCAATGCAAAGGAAGCATTCAGTGTCCAGCATGTAACATGGACTCTCTCATGAAGACATATAAGAAATGGGGCTAGAGATGACTCAATTGTTAAGGACACTGTGGCTCTTCCAGGGGACCAGAGTTCTGTTCCTAGTATCCACATCTGGCAGCTCACAAAGGCCTGCAATTCTAGCTCACAACTGCCTGTAACCCCCTCTCTGGCTTCCATTAATATCTGCACACATGTATATACACATACACACAAACAAACAAACAAATATTAGTAAGAAAATCTGAATGTTCTTTTCTGGCCAGCAGCAACAGCTAAAATTTAAAGTTCAAGATAGAAGTATGCACTGAACTCCAAATATCCCCAACAGTGGCTAGCCTTCCATGCCTCAGACTCACAGCCCCTAAAGTCACAGAGTCCTTGAATTGGAGCCAAATTGGCAAGAATACCAGGAGATCATTTCCCTCCAGGAAATAGGATACCTTGATCTACAAATCAATGTCCCTGATGTTGTAGGGGTAGGAAAGGCCAAGACAAAACCTGTACTCAGGCCTGTTAACCCCCAGGAGGCTGCCCTGATCACTACACTATCCAAGAGTCACTGGAGGTTTAAAACCAAGTCCCAAGGTTCAGGTTTAAGTCCACTGAACAATCATAAAATGCCAAGGGCCCTACCCAGCATTGCCTTAGACAGGAAATTAAACAGAGGCCTAATGCTAACAGGTAAGGGAGGTTGAACCTTGGGGGGTCAATTTTTCTAGAGAGCCAAGATCTGATAGGTCAGATTAAGCTGAGCCAGTGTGACTGAAGGCTGGGAGAGAAATAGCCACGTAGAAACAAAATGGTGTTAGACAAAAAGGAGAAAAAAGAACAGCCTGTCAGCACACTGCAGCTCTAACTGCCTCGAGCCATTCAATAAACATGTACTAGGCATTTCTGAGCAGGCACTTGTGCTGTGAAGGAAAGACGCAAGGGCATGTGCACACTAAATACTTTACTGACACTAAGGTGTTAGGAGTGTGGCCTTCTAGAGCTGCCTACGAGTAAGAAGATAGCAAGGCAAGCTCTTCTTTCACAAGCTTTGTAAAAGGAAGTAGCTTCAGACCAGTGCTCAGATCCCTCCTGATAGCCCTCATACCACTCACCTCCTATGCACCTTTTCCCTTTCTTCATCATCATCATCATCATCATCATCATCATCATCATCATCATCATCATGCCTAGAACGCCCTTCATGCCACCTTATCTCCTAGGAAGTTGTTGTTCACCTGCTAGCATCAAATTCCTCTGCTACCGTCTCTCTATGAAGTGCTGTCCAGCTACTTCATGTAGAGAGAAGCATGATTGTCTGGTAATGCTACTTTTGAAGTGGTACTAAACGTGCTTCTTTAACTGGAGCAAGCAAGCCAGAACCAATGGAAATGGACACAGCCATCAAACAAGCCCCTGTGCTGTGGACATCCTCTTGAGACCATCTGCTACCCGATACTAAATTAGCAACACATATACATGTTGCTCTTCAGAGATGAGTTTCCATAGTTCATTCCAAGAGGGAAGCTACAGCAAAAGGTTCCACTTAGGCCAAGTACATCACAACCCTTACCCTCTACTCCCTCTATCAGCCCTCCATGTGGTCAATCCCTCTTTCACTGCAGCTAGGACTCTAATCCACACAGCTACCCTTACCATGGGCATCACCACTGGCTACAACAACTTCCAACTCAGCCTCCTGCCTCACAACTTGTTCCCCCAAGTCTTAATCTGTCTTCTGGACAGAAGAATCTTCCTAAATAGCACACAGACTATGACATTTTCTTACTTTAAAAGTAAGTGAATGGGGGCGCTGGGGAGATGGTAAAGTGTTTGCCATGCAATCATGAGGTTCCAAGTTCAATCTCTAGAATTCCCTTCCCAAAAAAGGCCCTGATCCCAAGGGAAGTGGAGATAGGTGGACAGATCTTGAGAGGCAACGGCCAAGGGTTTCCTTAGCTTTGACCTTCACTCTCACACATCCATGTAGACCCCCATACACACATAAACACATGGACGTGTGCACTTACATAGACACGGGCACACAAACACCCACACAGGCATTGAGTAGCTAGCTCCCCAGTGTTTTTAGCTAGAATTCAAGGCAAGCAAGAAGGATTCCAAGAAGGAAGTGGCATTTTCAGTGGAGGCTGATACAAAGCAAAAGCCCTTTGGATCAAAGGAACAAAGTCAAAGCTGTGGGGAGGCACAGCCTGGGGCATGGTTCAGAAATAAAAGACATGCTGCTCCGATGGGTAGGAGTTACAAACACACTGTGCCACCCTGCCGCCCAATCCATCAGGATGTTCCATTCCGCAGAGCACAGAGTGAACACAGGACTTCCTCTGAAGGCAACTGCACAAGTCACCACTAACTGAAAAAAAAAATGAGCAGGAACCTCATTATCTCCAGGGAGAAATCTGGATGCCCGTGGGGAGGAACCCAGAAAGCAGTCACATGGTAGATTCTAGCCAGAAACTTCATGCTCAGCCAGAACCTCCACACCACTACTCCCAACCCCCATATACACTCCAGCTGTTGGAGAACAACTGCTCTGAACATCACCAGCCAGCAGGGACTTCCTCAGGGCTGTGGAATGCAGAGCTGTCACTCAGTTTTGTTAGGAAATCACTTCGACTGGAGTTTGTGGAGCTAACTCCTGGAAGACAAACCCCCAGGAAAAGCCACTACAACTGTAAAATCTTGTTCTGATAAACAGATTTCCGGAACCAGAGAAATTGGCCAGATTAGATTCCAAAGAGTTTGCTCCGAGCATCAATGAGGCTGACGACACATGGACCTGATGAATGGATGGGTGGGTTCAGAGATAACTTATCCCATCAGTTACATCCGTTACACACAAATGTCCTGCCAGTCCTGGGGCATGTTGCCTAGTGGATACAACAGGCACATGCTCTTCTGATCCCCCTTAGGCACAGAAGGGGCACCCTGCCCAGTGCCTTCAGAAGTGACATCACCGAACATAAGAAGAAACCAAAGCAAGAGAAGATCGTGTTGATTCTATTTTTCAAATCTCCCTCAAGCCTAGCCCAGCTGCCTCACTGGCCTAGCAGCACCCGTGGCATTGTCTTTTGTCCCCTTTTCAGCCAGCAGTCTGCACAGTAAGAATTCTGTAGGGACATAAGCCAGGGCCTGGAGACATCTTCTCTTGTCATGACTAGGTGTAAAGTACTACTGACATTAGCATGCAAAGTCCAGGGGTGTAGCATTGCATGGAAGGGTCTGGGGCTTTAAAGAACCATGTGGCTTTGACTGTTAGGAATGGTAGGTTTGTTGTGTTACATTTCTCCTGTTCTATCACCCATTGAGACACCACAACACAGATCCATTTGACTTGACATGTCAATAGTGCCGAGGCAAAGAAATACCTGTTTAAGCCAACCTGCTACTTAGTAGTTCTCACTCCTTGCAGTTGCTTCTCTTCACACTGAGGGAGTTTTTTCAATGTGTCTCTGGGCCCTTCAGACACAGGTGAACTCTTGTCACCTGGTTGAGAGAGCCCAGTGTGGCCCTGCCTGTGAAGCCCCTGCAATGTCCTTTAGAACCAGTGTCCAGGCTTCCAAACACTTGGCTGGCTGACCTGTCTGAGTCTCAGTCCACCTTCCCCTTGGTGTTTGGGACTGTGTTGTATCCCTCCAAAACTTGATGCTGGAGGTCTAATTGTCAGCACCTCATAATGGGAGTACATTTAAAGACAGAGTCCTTAAAGAATAATACATTGAGATGAGGCTGTTAGAGTGGGTCCTAATTCAACACAACTGGTTTCCTCACTGGAAATGGGAATTAGAGCACAGGCATATGTGGAAGAGACAACGTGAAGACACACAGAGAAGGCAGCCATCTGTAAACCAATCAATAGGGACTGAGAAGGAACCAAGCCTGCTGACAGCCTGATCTCAGACTTCCCCAACTGCGGGACAAGCAATCTCTGACATTCAAGCCACACAATCTTATGGAAATCTAATCCAATAGGCTAGCCTCCTCCTGCTCATCCTTGGACCCCAGTGTAGTCATCAAATCCGAGACCCTGGTCCCAGACAACCAGCCTGAAGCTGACCTTTCCATTAATCCCTCTGTTCCTGTCCTGTGTTTCGAGGACCCCAGCCTGTGCTAATGTTTCCGCTAGGCAGAATGTATCCCCACTGGCACAGTCTCTGTTCTGCTCTGCTCTACATCCTGGCATCTGCCATTCCCAGCTCTCTCATACATATCTCAGACAACTCCAAGGAGAAAACCAGGCATGGCATTAGTACCTTATCCCCATCCCTGAACAGCCCTGTCAACCTTACCTCACGTCTCTAGCATGTGGGTGGAACTGTGCACACATAATAAGGGATAAAGGAATCTGGACCTGACAAGTACCCTGTCTGCTTGAAAGGAGGTTAGAAATCTTTTCAGACTGACTGCCAGGCTTTCCAGTGGCAGCAACATGTTTCCCATCTCCAAGTCGTGGACCATATTTAAATAAAAAATTGACCAACATTAGCACAAAGTTGGCTTTCTTCTCCTCTCTTCTCTTTTCATTAAGCCAAAGAATCAAAAGGAGTTGCCTGTTTCCACTGCAGTATATTTAGCTGAAAATAACTATGCCATCTGTACAATAATGGAAAAATAAAAGCCAAGCCCTTCCTTGTCAGGCAAAAGACAGCATCCCATCTTTACAGTTTTTTTTTCAATGGCCCTGGCCCACAACTCCCTACTTGATGTGGGGAACAAAGCTGGGGTGACTAGAAACTCCATCCAGGGCTACACTCTGCTG